ATATTTAATAGCCTTTTGTTATTATATGTAGATTGTCTTGGTGATGATATGGAGCTGAACAATCTGAGAATATCTGGAGATGTGCCTATGACTTCAAGATTCATGACTACTCGAAAGAGACCAAGACAATTAGGCCCAACAGATGATTTGTATATTCAAAGTGTTGAAAGTGGCAAACGTGGAGAAAAAGATAGAGAGACAACTTCAAACGACGCATGCAAGGAGGAGTTGAGGGAAAAAGCAGACATGGCCATTGCCCGATGGATGTATCATGCTGGAATACCTTTTAACGCCATTAATTATCCTAGCTTTCAGAAGTTTGTGAATGCCGTTGGCAAATATGGTAAAGGGCTGGAACTACCTACTATTGATGAATTGAGGGGGCCTTTACTTAAAAACGCGATTGATAAGATAAATCGCAAATACGTCAAGCCTCGTGAGGAAGAATGGGCGAGACACGGCTGTACATTGATGGTCGATAGCTGGACAGACAATCGGCAGAGGACAATTATTAATTTCTTGGTGAATTCTTCTAGAGGTTCGGTGTTTTTAGAGTCTGTTGATGCTTCGGATTCTGCAAAGGCTGAATTAAAGATGCTTCAGCTTCTCGATAAATTTGTGGAGCGTGTGGGTGAATCGGCTGTTGTTCAAGTTGTCACCGAGAACACAAATGTCATGGTGCTTGCTGGTAAGAAACTATTTTACTGTCATTTCTAATTTATTTAATTAGATTTTTCCATCGCCTAAATTTCTAAAGTGCCTATTGGATATGAATTTGATTGGTTTTTCTTGTTAATCACAGGTAATTTTGAAAAAGGTGGTATGATTAGTTGTTAGTGGGAATTTAAGTTTAAATTAAAATAATATTTAAAATAAAATAATTAAAGTTGGCTTGATGTAAAAATAGGAGAAAAAATGATTGGAAATGATGGTTAGTTGAAATTATGTGAGCGAATGAATAGTGAATCAAAGTTGATGTGATGTGTAAGAATGATTGGTTAATATTATATTGAGGATAGTGTGGCGAGTTAAAGTTGAGTTAAATTTGAGTTTTGATTGATTTTTTTTTATTAAGTTTATATCTAATCATACCCTAAATTTTAACACCTTTGGTAGGAAAATATTTGCAAGTGAAAAGGCCGGCTTTGTATTGGACTCCTTGTGCTGCCCGTTGCGTAACTTCTATTTTAGAAGATATCGGCAAACTGCCCACTTTCAAAGCGACAACAAAGAAAGCAACAAGCATAGTTGCCTACATTTATTCTCGGCCACTCGTGTTGAATATGCTTCGCCAGTTCACAGGAAGAAACGAGCTTCCTCTACGGGCAGGCATCACGAAATTTGCCACCATTTTTCTAATGCTCGAAAGGATGCAATCACTCAAGGAGAAGTTGAGTGATATGTTTACTTCGCAAGAATGGAAAGAAAGCAAGTGGATTAAAGAAGCCCGTGGAGAAAAAATTACTAAAACCATCCTTTCAACTAGCTTCTGGGATTGTTGGTATCTTAAATATTTGTATGCGTGTAGTATGGGAGATAAGGCGTATGATTGTGAAAGAAAAGGATTGAATTTAGTGTTTTATTTATTTGGTGTAGGGAATTGTTGAAGTAGCAAGTATTTTTATTTTTTTAATTCTTCAACTTGCATTACAATGAGATACACGACTCATATATATAGATGCTAGAGTATATGATTTCTTTTCTCTTGCCGCCTTACCTTACCGCCTTTGCCTAATTCTATTTATTTAATTTTTAACAACCAACTAATATCTACCAACTATTGTCTACTAACTAATGTCTTTCTAGAATGAGCATTAATACTTTAACACTCCCCCTTAATGCTCATTTGAATAATTCCAAGTTTTTCGCGCAGACTTTCGAATCTTGGTCTCGGTAAAGCTTTTGTGAAAATATCTGCAAGTTGATCTTCAGTGGCGACATACGTGAGCTGTATCTGCTTATTATTAGTTGCTTCACGTAGAAAGTGATATTTGATAGCAATGTGTTTGGTTCTGCTGTGATGTACAGGATTTTTCGCCATTGCTATTGCTGACTTGTTGTCGCAATATATCTCTGTTGGACTTTCTTGGTGTTCTCCCATGTATCCAAGAATACGCCTAAGCCAAATAGCTTGACTTGTCGTTAATGCTGCTGCGACGTACTCGGCTTCTGCAGAAGATTGTGCCACACAGTTTTGCTTTTTAGATGACCATGAGAATATGCCTGAGCCAAGTGAAAATGTGTAGCCTGAGGTGCTTTTCATATCGTCAGTTGATCCAGCCCAATCACTGTCTGTGTAGCCGACCAGTCTTGAGTCTTTGTTATTTTCGTATTTGATTCCGTAGTCTTTAGTACCCTGCAAATATCGCAGTATTCTCTTCGCGGCTCCATAGTGAACTTGGCTCGGACTTTGCATGAACCTCGATAGAAGACTTGTCGCGTACATGATATCTGGTCTTGTGGCCGTTAGATATAGTAGGCTTCCAATCAGACTTCGGTATGTGTATGCGTCTGCATTTGGTGTACCGTCGTCTTTACTTAATTTTTCGTTCGCAACTATAGGAGTCGCCACGGGTTTACAGCCGTCCATCTTGAACCTTTTTAATAGATTATCTGTGTATTTCCTCTGTGAGATAAATATCCTATTTTCTTCTTGGTTTACCTCAATACCAAGAAAATAGCTCATTTGCCCAAGGTCTGTCATCTCAAAGGTCTTCATCATATCTTCTTTGAGCTCCTTAATCATCTCCTCATTGTTCCCTGTATAAATAAGATCATCAACATAAAGAGAAACAATGAGTTTGTTGTCGTTACCTTGGGTTTTGATGTAGAGTGTTGGCTCAATTTCGCTTCTTTTGAATCCATGACTGGTGAAGTAGTCATCAATTCGGCTGTACCAAGCTCGTGGGGCTTGTTTCAATCCATAAAGCGCCTTTTTTAGTTTTAGGACTTTATTTTCTTGTCCTTCTGCCACGAACCCTTGAGGTTGTTCGACATAGATCTCTTCTTCTAGATAGCCATTGAGGAATGCTGACTTTACATCGAGCTGGTAGATTTTCCATTTCTTCTGGGCCGCGAGAGCGATTAGAGCCCTTATAGTATCTAGCCGAGCAACTGGAGCGAAGGTCTCGTTGTAGTCGATCCCCGGAAGTTGTGAGTACCCTTTAGCTACCAGTCGTGCTTTATGTTTTTGGATTGAGCCATCTGAATTCAGCTTTGTTTTGTAGACCCATTTGACTCCAATGACTTCCTTGTTATTTGGTGGATCGACTAACTCCCAAGTTTTATTCTTCTCGATCATCCTGATTTCTTCCTCCATGGCTTTTACCCATTCCTTTTGCTTTACTGCTGCTTCAAAGTTCTCTGGTTCCATCGTGGCAAAATTGCATGTTTCGTAGATCTCCCTGAGTGTCCGTACTTTTCTTGGTGGTGATTCAGGGGATGACTGTTCATTGCTTGATGGTGATGATGTCCTTGGACTGAAGGGTTGTGGAGTTGAAGGTGATTGTGTATCTTCTGCTTCATCTTCTGGTTCTTCTGGTATGATATTTTGCCTCCGGGATACAGGTACCATGATATTTTGGTATTCGACCTTTTCTTCCTCCCAGTTCCATGTAGCATTTTCATCGAACTCGACATCTCGACTGATAATTAGTTTACCAGTCTTGAGGATGTAAATTCTGTATCCTTTAGATTGAGACGCATAGCCGAGGAATATACCTTTCTCGGACTTCTCCTCTAGTTTATGCCTCTTTTCCTTTGGGATGTGAACATAGCAAATACTCCCAAAGACTCGTAAATGTTGGGCTGATGGCTTTCGTCCACTCCAAGCTTCTATTGGAGTTTTATTTTGGACAGCTTTAGTAGGGCACCTGTTGAGTATATAAACTGCAGTGTACACAGCTTCTGCCCAAAATTCTTTTGGCATGTTCTTCTCCGCAAGCATTGTCCTGGCCATCTCTTGCACGGTTCTGTTTTTCCTTTCTGACACGCCATTTTGCTCTGGAGCGTAGCCGACAGTTAGCTGATGATTGACTCCTTCATCCTCGCAGAATTTGTTGAACTCCTTGGATGTGTACTCTGTACCTCGATCACTCCGAAGTACTTTAATTCTTTTTCCACTCTGATTTTCGACGAGGCTTTTAAATTTCTTGAAAATAGAGAAGACTTCTGATCTCTCTTTCATGAAGTACACCCAAGTCATTCTTGTGTAGTCATCAATGAAAAGGATGAAGTACCTGTTCTTCTCGAAGGTTGGCGTTCTCATTGGTCCACACACATCTGTATGCACCAGCTCCAGTATTTGTTTGGCTCTTCCTTCTTGGCTTGAAGGAAATGGTTTCCTATGTTGTTTGCCCTCCATGCACTTTTCGCAGAGATTGTTGTTCATTTGGATGGCTGGTAGATTTTTCATCATATTTTTCTGATGAAGTAACTTTAGCCCGTTGAAGTTGAAGTGCCCGAATCTTCGATGCCATAGCCAGGATTGATCTTCTTCGGCTTTTAGTGCTGCTTCTATGAATTTCCAACGGAGTGGAAAATTTCTCCGTTGTTGCATGTTTACTACAGCTATGGGATTATTTTTGTTGTCATAAATAGTGCAAGAGTTGTCTTTGAATAGTAGCTTGTATCCTTTTTCCACCATTTGTCCCACGCTGAGTAAATTAGTATCAAGTTTTGGTACTAGCAGCACATCTTCTACGAGACGAGTACCTTTTTGGGTCTCGACTTCTATTGAGCCTTTGCCTTCAACTTCTACTAGATCTCCATTTCCTAATCGAACTTGTGATTTTACAGATCTATCAATATTTTTAAATTTCTTCTCATCTCCGGTCATATGGTTGCTACAGCCGCTATCTAGGAACCAAATATCATTTTTCTCTTCTGAAGTTGCATGTGTTGCATAGAATAGCAAATTTTCTCCTTTTTCATTTTCTTCAGAGAAATTTGCTTGATATTTTTTTATGCGGCAATTTTTCTCCACATGACCGAATTTACCACAATTTTTACATTGTGGTTTATCTCTGTACCAACAATCCTTCTCAAGATGGTTGGTCTTTTTGCAAACTCCACAAGGTGAATATTTTTCTTTTTGTTGATTATTATAATTTCCACCTTGATTTTTATTTTTGCTATTTTCTCCAAATTCTCTCCCCCCAATTTTAGAATTCTGAGACCGTAATTTTAGTTTTGACTGAAATGCGTTTTCAACTGTATCATTTTCACGCATACTCAGTCTTTTCTCATAGGCTTCAAGTGAACCTATTAATTCTGTCACTGACAAATGATCCAAATCTTTAGTTTCTTCAGTCGTCGTGACGATAGGATCATATTTGGCTGGTAGAGTAATTAGTATTTTTTCTACCACCCTTTTGTCAGTGATATTTTCTCCAAATGCTTTTAATTGATTTACTACTTCTCTTAATCGAGTGTAGTAATCTTTTACGGTCTCAGATTCTTTCATCTTCATATTTTCCAAATCTCTTCTTAGAGTTTGTAATTTTAGATGACGTACCTTGTCACTACCCTGATATTCTTCTCTTAGAGTATCCCATGCCTCCTTTGATGTTTGTGCTCCGCTAATTCTTGGAAACAGGGACTCCATCATGGCCATTTGTAGTGTGAAAAGAGCCAAACTGTCTTTTTCCTTCTCCCGGTCGAATTTTTCTTCATCCGCCGTAGACAAAGTGGATATGTCATCGGGGATAGTATACCCGTTCTCGACAATATTCCATAGGCCTTGAGACATAAAATATGTTCTCATTTTGATGGACCAATAGTTATAATTTTCGCCCGAGAAAATAGGAATTGGTATTTGATGGGTGTTTTGGGAAGTGGCCATTTTAGAATTTTAGTAGGCTATATGAAAGTAGGAGAATATGTGAAAGTAGGGTATTTGGACAAGATATCAAAAAATAGAAGGCTATGAAAAAATAATTTCGCCCAGCTATTGATCCAACCGGGCTCTGATACCACTGTTGGTATCTTAAATATTTGTATGCGTGTAGTATGGGAGATAAGGCGTATGATTGTGAAAGAAAAGGATTGAATTTAGTGTTTTATTTATTTGGTGTAGGGAATTGTTGAAGTAGCAAGTATTTTTATTTTTTTAATTCTTCAACTTGCATTACAATGAGATACACGACTCATATATATAGATGCTAGAGTATATGATTTCTTTTCTCTTGCCGCCTTACCTTACCGCCTTTGCCTAATTCTATTTATTTAATTTTTAACAACCAACTAATATCTACCAACTATTGTCTACTAACTAATGTCTTTCTAGAATGAGCATTAATACTTTAACAGGGATATTGTCCAGCAAATGCTGCAAACGTACGGCCCTTTACTCAATTTGCTTCGATTGGTAGGTGATTATGGTGGACCTTCAATGGGCTTTATTTATAATTCTATGGCTTATGCAAAAGAAGCAATTAAGGATGCTTTCAAAGGAGAAGAGGAGGAGAAGTATAATAGAGAAGTGTTTGGTATCATTGATAAGAGATGGGATTGCCAGCTTCGTAATCCTTTGCATGCTGCGGGCCATTATTTGAATCCGGTGTTCTTTTCCACATACAAATATGGCATTGATGTTCCTAGTGATGTGGCAAACGGTTTTCTTGATTCTGTCGAGAAATTGGTTTTGGATCTTGACGAGCAAGAGAAAATCACTTCCCAAGTCTGTGTGTACCAAAGGGCGGAAGGGCTGTTTGGGAAGGATTTAGCAATTAGGATGAGGGATAAATTACACCCGGCAGATTGGTGGGGTTTGTTCGGTTCACATACACCACAATTGCAAAAGTTTGCTATTAAAGTGCTTAGCCTTGTTTGTAGCGCCTCGGGTTTTGACCACAGTTGGAACGTATTTAAACGCGTAAGTATTGAACATAATATTTTTTGGAATTTTAGAGTGTGTTTATTTATAAATTATCTCAATCCATACTCAAAATTTAACTTTAACTCTACTATCATCGATATTGTCATTATTTAATTATATCAATCATTCGTTTTTAAACATTACATCAATTTTAATTCACTATTCATCCACTCACATAATTTTAACTAACCATCAATTAACATCACCTCTCTCCTACTTTTACATCAAATCAATTTTAATTATTTTATTTTAAATATTAGTTTAATATAAACTCAAAATTCGACAACTAACTAATCATACCACATTTTTCAAAATTAATGAACTCTGGTTAACCAAAAAAACTCATTTTGAGCGGATATATTTATATAATTTTATTGTATTTATTTTGTCCTAACTTTGTGGTTTCTTTCTTTCCTTCCCTTCCCTTTACTTCCATTTTCCTTTCCAGATTCATGGCAAAAAGTGGAATAGGCTCGATCGACAGTGTATGCATGATGTGTTGTATGTGAAGTGCAACCGTTTTCTGAAGCGTAAGTATAATGGAGTTAGTCGTGTGAATCCCATCTCTTTGGATGATACAGATGTTTACGAGTGGTTGGTGAAAAATATATTGGAAGGAGAAAATGATTTAGAAGAGTTGGTGTTTGATGGCGAAGATTTGACTTGGGATGATGTAGTAATAGCTGTTGGGACCGAGCAAGTTGTTGAAGAAGAGCAAGTTGTTGAAGAAGGCAGAGGAAAGGAAAAGGAAAAGGAGAATGAAATAGAAAACGGAAAAGGAAATGCAACCTCCTTAACGAGAGGCTCGATTCCAAGACTTCGACAAGAAGAAGAAGAAGATGATGACGAGAATGAAGAAGTTGAAGAAAACGAACAAGATGAAAAAGTTGAAGAAAATGAAGAAGGGTCTAGTGAGAAATTTGACAAAGAGGAGGATTGGCATGATGACGTAGAAAATGAAGAAGGGTCTAGTGAGAATCTTGACGAAGAGGATGATTATTATTATAGCTTAATTTCCTTTGTGTTTAACTAGCATTTTCCCGAACGAGCTCTGTGTTTTAGTCTCCTTAGACTTGATCTGAATTTATGGCCAAAATGAGACTTGCATTATGGTTACTTTTACTTAGTTTTACTCGTGTTCTATTGTGGACTCGTCTTTCGTGTTTAATCAGGCTGTGCTGGCCTTATGTAACTCTGGATAAAACATTTCTGTTACTATCTTTAGCTATTTCTGGTGCTTATTTTTTGTTTCTTATCCATCCTTCTTCAGTTCTTCCTTTGATTTGATTTAATTTTTTTTTTCCCTCTTTTCCGTATTAAAATTTTCAAATAAAAAGAAAGTATGGAATTCAAAAGTTTAACAATATTTAAGATAGTTACAGACTTACAGTTAAAGCTAATTGTTATATTTACTTTTTTTTTTTCCCTTGAATTCACCTTATGTCAAGATTTAAAAAAAATATATATATATATATATCAACACAACACGTTGACATGAAAAACCTTCATTGAGCTGACTTTCTCCAGTGACTTTCTCCAGTTGAGCTCCGTATTATGACAGTTAAAGCATATCTTAGACATGGGGCTATGAAGTTTGAGCTGACTACTTTTTTTTTTGCCCCCTATTTCCAATTCACTCGTGATACATTTTTTAACAAAAATATAATTGCCTTACTCTTACCATTAAGTCTGGTAAGAGTAATAACAATAAATAATTTAAAACTAATTTTACTGCATATTGCTTTTAATTTTCATTGTTCATAACTTCATATGACATACACTCCACGCAGCAAAGACATAAAACTCTTTTAAGGCGTGAGCCATACACCACAAACATAATGCAATCCGTACAATCACACTTTAACAGTTCCCAAGATTCCCATATGAAGAACAAAGCAACATTAAATAAACTAGTCAATAATGCAGCCCAAGAAAAAGATTACCAAAAAAAAAAACAAACAAACAAAGAAAAAGCACACAACTAAAATTAATTTTCACCAAGTTTTATGAGGTAACATAACTACCTTCCGAGACGGCGCCACGTGGCAGCCGATGAAGCACGCTCGTCGGCGATGATGACGAGGCGGTGGCCGACAATCTCAAAGCCTCGGCAAGTGGCCCTCCCATTGCGGCCACCGGAATATTCTCCCAATTAGCCATTCCCCAACTCATCACTTGATGAGGTTTATTATTATTAATATTGTTGTTACTATTCATGTCATTTTCCCTTTGACCACCGTTGACTTGAGAGCTCGGCTCGTCACCGATTCCTGTTGTCCCAAGCGTGAGTGAAAAATCGGAGGACGAGTTTTCGGGCATTGAGATCGAGAGATTCGTGGCCGAGTAATTGGAGGCAGACTCGTGAAGGGGTTTTGGCCAATCATCGAAAAAGTGCCTAAGGGTTCGACCAGTCGAGTGTCCGTCGTCGGGTTGCGGGTCGAAATTGCCCTTTGTCTCGATTATAGAGTCACAATACCTAAAAGAACAATCAAATCATAAGTAGACATTTGTAATTGAAAACAATGAAAAAAGAATAGTCTTTTTGAAAAACAAAATCTTGTATGAGCTGGCCTAACTGTTAGGCGGGTTTACCCGTCAAGATCAACCCCAAATTTGTTGAGAAAGTATAATTGTCTGATCGTTAGGGTTCGTTCGTTGTGTGATGTTACTATGTTTTGCAAATATTTCAAGTCTAAGGAATGAAATCTAAGAAGATCACAACATGAACAAAAGGACAATTTTGTAAGGAATAAAGTTTGGTGAAAACATAAATACATGGGGTTGCTTTAGATAAGGGGAATCAGAAACAAGTGGTTAGGGTTGATCTTTGCACTACACCCAAAGTTCAAAAATATCAAAACATTGTCCCACCAAGAAGACAGTGGTGGGTCTATACACACAGCTCCATTTTGACACTAACAATACAGAAAGATTGCATTCTTTGGGGACCCCCTAATTCAATCTAACAACTAATAAAAAAGAAAGAAAAAAAAAAAGAAAAAAAGTTGTTTGAGAATATCAAAACAAATTGATGGGCTTAGATCATTGTATATCAAGATTTCAACTTTCTTCCTTTTGGGGAACAAGGACCCCCCTTCATTTGTTATCTTAAAAAATCTTACAATAAGTGGTGGGATTGTAAGCATTTTTTTTTTCCTTTTCTTTTTGGCCCACACAAGGAGTGTTTGCTATGTGCAAACACTTAATTCAAATAATGATAAGAACAATAATATAAGAATTAAGAAAACAAGACATTTTTTTATGAAGTTAAAAGTTTCTTGTCCAACTTCTTAATATGACATTGTTTTTAAAATCAATCATGAAATTGATAGTCAAGTTACACCTATAAATTTACAATAACTAGTCAATAATCTTGATGTGTGTGTGAACCAATCTTTAGCAACACATATCAATAAATAAACCAGGCAAAAAATAGAATAAAACTGCAAATTATAATACCCAATAACTTCGGAAGGATGGTACTTTTGTGTGTAGTTAATTTATCTGCAATCGTGCAATCACACAAACTGCTCCCTAACTAATCAAATCGCAACAACCTTACATTTTTATTTTTTTTTGCAACTTTTTGCATTTAATTAGTGGGTAATGTTTGCCTGATTTTTAATTTTTTTTCACATTATGCTCATTTTTCAGTCGTCAAATTTTTTAAATATACCTCTGATTCAGAGGAAGGAGATCCGTCGAGCGCGACGCGGCGGCCGTGATCGTAAAGGCGCCGGAACCCTCGCCGGCGGCGGCGGCGCAGCCGCCTTTCCGGGCCTCACCGCCGTACGGCCCGGTCCCGGCAGCGGCGGCTTCCACAGGCTTTCTTGAACGGTTGCGTCCCCTGTGCATGTGGCGCTCGCAGTACTTGTGCCCCGCCACCACGTCCCTCGAGCACCGCCACTTCTTGCCGTCCGTCCGCCGGCACCTCCCCGGCTCCGGGTCCATCGCCCCCTTCCCCCAGTACCCCGCCTGCACCACTTGATCCCGCCAAAAAAAAGAACACGAAGAAAATAATCGAATCAGATCTCGAACTAATCGAAATAAAAATTGAATCTTTATCAAATGTTCTGTTTTTTTTTCTCAATTTTCTCTGAGCTTACGAGGTGGCTGGTAATGGGAGTAGTATTGGTGGTGAGGGTAAAATGGGGAATTCACGAGGCTCTTCCGAACAAGATGAAGGAGCTCCTGAGGAACAGAGGCGCCAGCTGTCATGTGCCTGTAAATCAGAGCCTGAAGCTCAAGCTCCTGCCATTGGGCCAAGCTGAAAAAGCTCCCCATCCCTGCAAAAAGACGCACAAAAAAAAAAAGATTAAAAAAACATAAAATAAAGTGAGCCTGTTAGATAAAATCACTGAAAAAAAGGTGGAAATAAGCTAAAAATGTGATCTTTGAAGGAACCCATTAAATGAAATCAATGGAAGAGGATAAAATAAGCTAAAAATGTTATCTTTGAAGATAGACAAAATGGTTTCTTGAGATAGAGAGAGAGAGTGTGTACAGGGGAATTTGGGAGCAGATAAGGGCGTGTTTGGATGATCAGAGGAGTAAGGGACTGACAAATGGTGGCTGGTGGTGTTGGGTTCAGAGAAGAACAAAGGAAGAGCAGGTGAGGAAGAAGAAGAAGGGTTTTGGAGCAGCTTTGTTTCTTGATCTTCCTCTGTCACTGACTCATCTATCCATGGCTTCAGATTTAGTTCCATGTGAAAAATAAAAGAAAAAAAGTCAGTTTCAGCTTTCAGGGAGAGAGGAGAGAGAGAAGGGAGAGGGGATTTTTGTAGTTGGGGTTTTGGGTTTGGTGTGGTAAAAAAGCTTTATGTTTTGGTGTGGTTTAAATGAGAAAAAAAGTTGGTAAAGAAGGGCTTTTTTTATTTGCAGGGGCTTCTCAATGGCCACTCTAATGTATTATGGTATCTTTTTTTTTTTTCTTTTTTTTTTGNTAGCTTTGATAGAGTGTAGAAATTGAAAAATTATAAGGAATTTCTTCTTGTGGTGTTTGGAGTTTAAGATTTTAAGGTTGTTATTTTGGAGTTTAAGATTTTAAGGTTGTTATTTAAACTTCTTGTGAGAAATCTCATATTTTCGGGGTTAAGTGAATCTTACGACAAATTTTACATACTTTGGAACACTTATTTATGTTAAAAAAAATCAGTTTTATTGATTATTATGGCAAAATAAGCTTATAATTCACATTTTGGTTATACAAACATGCACTCAATAAAGCTGTGAGATTTATCATTTTATCTTACGTTATTACTTATTTAGCTATCTAACAAGTCGAGGTGGAGTTTGAACTCGTTTAAGATGCGTTGGGCTTGATAATTATGAAATTTTACATAAGGTTTACTCTATTTTCAGTAAAATTCAACTCACTCAGACTTGAATTCGACTCGTTTACAAGTCAATGTTTGAGCTCGGTAACAAACTCGACTTGATAAGGACTCAAATCCCATACTCGAGCTCGGACTCATCTCTTTTACACGAATCTATCACGGACAAGCACATAATACTATTAAAAAAATACACTCGGACAGAACAGTTAATAAAATAAATAAAGGGCCAAACTTCAAAGATTAAAAACACATAAATAAATACATTTTCTTTTTGTTTGAACTTTTAAAAAATAAATTAAGAGTAAAGGCTGAAGGGTGGGGGTTAGCCTGCAGGCTGTTGTCCACTGTCATTTTGCAGCTTTGGGAATAGTAACAATAGCAAAATTGCAACAGCTACAACTAGGGTTTCTTAAATACATTTTTATTAAATTAAAAAAAATCCCATCAGCACTTTTTTCCTGTGTTTGCACTACAAGTCAAAATTATTTCAGAAGCATGAATAGAAACATTTTTTTTTTTTTTTTAACAAAATAAAGAAAACTGACAATGATAAATTCCATTTTCAGCCAAGATAGCCAGAATCTGTCTGTATGAAAAGTTTTAATTCAAACAAGAATTACTAAAGTGATCAGAATTAGTTGGTCAAATTTCCATTTATGCTACACTTTGATGCTGGAACATAATATACATAGTATTTCAGACATCAAATTCTATAGGGACAGCACATTATTTAGTATAGTTTCAAATGCACACATGTTTCTAGCTACATTTTCTTGTTCAGTTATATTATTATGGTAATCAATTTTTTTTAGGTGAGAAAATTACATTTGAAACGTAGGTATTTTGTAACGAGTGCGCTCAACTTGTAGTACGAACTAAAACAAAAATTATAAAATGCGGAAGCAATAAATCGAAGATTTAAAAACTCTTCAGGGAAGCGTCCCACTTCCCCTCAGAGCTCTTTCATTGATAAACCGTTTGTGCACACTTGTATAGTTTGGACTTACACGACTCGAACTCCCTTCTAGTCTAGCCACAACTACACACGATTCTATCAACTACTTCTCCGACCACGTCCCGTGGATTTTACCTCTCGAATCCCTCGAGCTAAAGACAGTACTTAATCCCTAAGCACTGATCACACAAGTGTTTGAATGAAAAACAAAGAAAAGAAAACAAAACAGACTTCAGTTCTTCGATGACGTAAGAACACCGAAAAACTGACCAACGAAAATAAAACACAAAAAGCTTGCAGCTCGAATATGGAATAGAATATAATGCTCTCAGCTCTCCAAAATTCGTTCTTCAAGCAGATATATATACAATCCCTAGGATGTGGAGTGTTCTCCAAGTATAGGACTCCTTTTTTATTTCCTTCCAAGTTTATCCAATTTCCTTCCATGTAAATCATAAGAGATATGGTAGGTGTAGATCTCTATCTTCTCTTTCCAAAGATCTTTCCTTCTTATATGATTTCCTACAAAATATATCCATAATAAGATCATGTAAATCTAATATATATGTATATAAATCGAATATATAAATATAAATATAAATATATTCGAATATATAAATATAAATATAAATAAAAGAACTTCCCTTTTTATTTCTCATGCTTGCAAGAATATATCTTCACTTATATTAATTTTTGAACTTCATTGCCAAAAATATAACTCTTTCAATCTCCCCCTTTGGCATCTAGTTCGAAAATCATATAATGAAGATAACCTGAAACACAGTTAGAACAACAAGCACGAATATGCAGAATAATATCATAAGGAACAAATCACTGCAGTAAGAACACAGTCCATAAAGTACCTGCAGTTACAACTCATTAGACGCACATAGCATAAAACAATCAGAGCAAACATCCTACCAATCACAGCAAGTATTAACAGCAGCCACACAAAAGAAAAGTCATAAGAGGTTCTAACAGCAACCAATCGCATCTATTGAATCTCCCCCTGACTTCTTAGCATCATCCTTGACCATCTCTGCCTTTCTCCCCCTTTTTCGAACTACGGGATGCCGAAGGGCCTGTACCCGTGTTCTTTTTCCACCGTCTTCCATGTGAAGAAACAGCGATGGTTCTTACATAATCCCCAATATCTTACAAAAACAGCAACCAATATAATCAGAAGCAAACAACTATAACATAATCCCCAATATCTTCAGAAACATCCTTTTTCTCCCCCTTTTTAGACTGAAATGCCAAAGGCAAATCTCCCCCTGAGTAAGAACATCGAGTGAGAGAAAAAAAATATAACCGAAGACGAAAGTCGTTGCTTGAACTGATCTCTAATCATTGAAGACTATCCATCTCTTCTCTAGTCTTTTGCCATCAGCCAAAGTGTTTCAGAAGCACAATAGAAAATCATGCAGGAACACAAATGGTTAAAAGAAAAATGCAAAGAGAGAAAAATAAAAATGGGGTTCTCAAGTTCTGAAAATGAAGATATATAGTGAGGACGTGATGGGTGAGGTTCGAAAAAAAATATCAAGGGAAAGGTTGAATACCATGCAGTAAGAACATCCCCATCAAAACTGAACACACAAACTCATTAACACACTAACACACGTGTCCAACTAATTCAAAATTAGGAAGAATAAGATTTTATCATCCAAAAATAAAGTCCCTCACATTTTTTAACGTCCAAGTAATTCACTCAAGAAGGAAATCACATGCATTATGCCTAAGGATGAAAAAAAAAAAATAAAACCGCATGCAAGACACTAAAATCAATAAAATCCTTTCTTAATCTACTTAGGCAGGATTGATGCATAATTAATCCAAAATCAACATTGTGCTACAAACACACCAAGGAACAAAACAGAGGCGGTATTATTATATATATGTATATGTAGCGCAAGTCATATCTCTCCAGAATTCCAACACCAAAACAACATAAGCTTTATTATTCACTAGGCTTTTCACTTAGTAACAACCACTGCAATAGTGAAAGTCAACCCCATTACTTTGCCCAATGATTTTAAGCAACAACATTAATTTACATCGAGGTTTTTCACTTAGTAACAATCACTGCAATAGTGAAAGTCAACCCCATTACTTTGCCCCAATGCTCGGTGTAAGAACTCGTTTTTTTTTTTTTTTTTTTTTTTTTTTTTTTTTTTTTTTTTTTTTTTTTTTTTTTTTTTTTTTTTTTTTTTTTTTTTTTTTTTTTTTTTTTTTTTTTTTTTTTTTTTTTTTTTTTTTTTTTTTTTTTTTTTTTTTTTTTTTTTTTTTTTTTTTTTTTTTTTTTTTTTTTTTTTTTTTTTTTTTTTTTTTTTTTTTTTTTTTTTTTTTTTTTTTTTTTTTTTTTTTTTTTTTTTTTTTTTTTTTTTTTTTTTTTTTTTTTTTTTTTTTTTTTTTTTTTTTTTTTTTTTTTTTTTTTTTTTTTTTTTTTTTTTTTTTTTTTTTTTTTTTTTTTTTTTTTTTTTTTTTTTTTTTTTTTTTTTTTTTTTTTTTTTTTTTTTTTTTTTTTTTTTTTTTTTTTTTTTTTTTTTTTTTTTTTTTTTTTTTTTTTTTTTTTTTTTTTTTTTTTTTTTTTTTTTTTTTTTTTTTTTTTTTTTTTTTTTTTTTTTTTTTTTTTTTTTTTTTTTTTTTTTTTTTTTTTTTTTTTTTTTTTTTTTTTTTTTTTTTTTTTTTTTTTTTTTTTTTTTTTTTTTTTTTTTTTTTTTAAAAAAAAATCATTATGCACTACGTTTTTTATGAAGATGACCACCTTATAACTCCAAGTAAAAACACCACACAATGAAGTGCAGTGGTTGTCACTAGCTACCACCCTTCACAACATTTTCTGTCCATGACGCTCTTTTCACAGTCGATCCCAAAGGAAACGAACCATGTGCTAGCTATCGCTCTAGATCATTGTGTGAAGGCAGCTCTTTTTGACAGAAATATATTTGTTCCAAGGTATGCAAGAACACGCCATCAATTAAAGACAATCAACATCTCACCCGCTTTCAGAAGAGTCAGAACTTCATTTATGACTTAGTGGTGAAATATATGCAAAAATGCAAGGCATGCCTAATGCAAATAATACCCTATATGCATACACGCAATGCAAATATAATATATATACTAATATACAATACAATATAATATAATGGCATGCAAGCAATCAGAGAGTGCATATCCATAAGGATTTCCTTAGAGAGATAAATCTTTGAACATCAAGGTTATGTGCTGGAACATATTTATGAACAATTAATTCATCATCAACCAAATTTCTAGTAAAGTGGCATAGCATGCTAGTACGATTAAGAGAATGTTGAACAGAATATTTGGAAACATTAGCCGCATAGGTAAGGTCAAAGAAAAGGTCAATGGCTTGTACCTCAGTTCCAAATTTAAGAAAAATGTGCTTCATCCACACCTTTTCTGAACAACAAGTTTCAGCCACAAAATTCTGATCGGTGTAAGAACATCCGTCAGACGTACTCCATTGAACATTCTCATCCCTATCAGCATCACAATCTCTAACAATACCAGAACTCGCATCACATGAGTCAAAAGTCATATAATCAATCAAATAGCAATTAT